GTCACATAGTACATCGATACAATTACACGAACGTTGGCGGCGGCGTACGCGATAATCGTATTATCCACGGAAAACAGAGTACGTGCAAGCGAAAAGCAACAGAACGAACCCAATACACAACCGAAAGAAAAGCCACCGCAATATCGAAATTAGTAGAGCACAATACTTTTTTTGTTGCAAATTTGTTTTTAATGACAATGTAATAAGAAACAGTATAATAATAATAATAATAATAATAATAATAATAATAATAATAATAATAATAATAATAATAATAATAATAATAATAATAATGGTAATAATAATATTAATAATAATATTAATAATAATAAAATTAATAATAATTAATATAATTTTTTTTATAATTACAAATTGTCGTGTAACACTATCCGGCTGATTTGTATCTAAATAAATTTTCTGCCTCTCCTCTTTTCTTCCTCAGCTTCTTACCACCAAATTTTAATAATAATTATTCAATAATCAATACAATAATATTAATAATAATATTTGTTTTTTTTTCTTAGTTTTTACTTGCGGTAATCGGTAATCCTCTCCCTCACGCTCGTTTAATGTCTCGCACCTCAGAAGAATAAAAATATCGTGTTTTACAATATTAAAGGAGACATTGTCCATCATTTGATCATTATTCGACTTTTATAATTAACTCCGCTGCGAGTGTCTGTCGTTCCGCTTACCTAATTAGGAGGAACACGCGCTCTCGAGTTTCATTTATTTTATTTATTTTACTTTAGCTGCTTGTCTCCTTTTTTTTTATCTATATAATCAAATCTATTTGCTTTTCTTTTTCTTTATTTCAGGTTATAAATACCCACCCTCCCCCCACGTGGTTTCCCCTGAACCCCAGCCCAACTGTCTGTGCATACGATGTAATGTGCATTTTCCATTTGACGCAGGACTTCTTATATTCTTTTTTCATTTTTTTTTCTTTTACTTGCTTCTTTTGCGTGTAGATGGGTGTATGTTACAATTAACGGTAGCTCGCGAATAGTTCGTTACGCCGGTTACATTTGCTCCTTTTAGTTTCGTTTTTTTCTCGTGCGTACTGTGTTCGGCTTTACGTACTCTTCTGCATATGTTCGTTCGTCGTATCCGAAATTGATTAATAATCCCAATCTGTGGTCACAGTTGAGCAACATTTACTCTACCACTTTCAGCACCTTACCGATAGCGATAGTCTTATCTGGAAATTACAAGACAGAACCAGTTAGTGCTATTATCGTACGCTATATATAGATTCCGCAAGTGTTAACCGATATTTCGTCTGTCGGTATCGCTTTAAAGAAAAATGTTGTCTGAAAACTTTTAATACCGCTTCGAAACCACCCGCGTGTCTGTATAAAAAATAAAAATACTCACTTTCATCCCTAAGGGTGAAACGTCCCATCTGTGGAAATAGTTTAAATCTTTCAAGGCATATGACACCTGCACATTCGATTCTCATTATAGCAACTTGGTCCTGTTTCACGAACCTCGGCCTGGTTTTGCTTTTTTCACCCGTCTTCTTGTCGACAAGGCAAATCAATGCCTTTACTCTGACTTCCTCCGCGGCGCAATGAATATGCATCACAGCACTGTAGCCAGCACAAATGATGCTCTTGTGTTCCAGAATAACCACTTGAGCATCGAACACTCTCCCCGTTTTTATGGGATTATTACTGTCGCACAATACGAATCCGGGACTCACGTCTTCCTCCTCAATGCCTTTTAACTTAATCTTTACATTTTCACCCGGACCAACCGATGTCACTTCCTCGTCATCTGACCATAATTGATCTACCGTCACTGCCGTCTAATGTAACACAAATAATGACATCGGAATAAGTAAATAGGCGTACGATTCTTATACAGTGTATCGTATTTAAGCATTAATATTTTACCCTATTAGGCATAACAAGTAATGACTGTCCTTTCTTTGCTTCTCCAGCTTCAACCTTGCCCATTACCACTGTTCCCATATCCTTATATTTATCAACAATTGGCATGATGAAAGGTCCACTATTCTTACGATTAAGTGACGGTAGAGAATCAATGAAGGATATAAATGGCGGCCCAGTGTACCACGTGCAAAGATGCTCTGGAATTGGATCTTTCAAACCGATACCTAACTGCCCCGAAACTGGCATAAACGTAAGGTCTTTCGCAGGATTGAATCCCAGTTTACGAAGATATGGCAGTATCTTGTCCCTAAACATAAAATGAATCGAATAAAATGTTTTATTTTTATACGCGCATCGTAAGCCGTTAATTATTGAAGTCTTAAGTCATAACGCCGTATGTTACACACCTGCATTCATTGTACCTTCCTTCATCCCACTCCACAGTCGGATCATCCATCTTATTTACTAATACAACCAGATGTTTCACGCCAGCCGTTTTAGCCAACATAGCATGCTCTCTTGTTTGACCGCCTCTATCAAAGCCAGTTTCAAATTCACCTTTTCGCGCAGAAATAACTAAAACCGCGAGATCAGCTTGTGCCGCTCCACCAATCATATTGGGTACAAAACTTTTATGGCCAGGAGCATCCAAAATAGTGAAATGCTTTCGTTCGGTTTCAAAATACGCTCTACCGACTTCTACCGTCTTTCCCTTTTCTCTTTCTTCCTGATTCGTGTCTAGTGCCCAACTCAAGTACCACGTCTCTCTACTTCTTTCCTTCGCTTCCCTTTCATACTTCTCTAGAGTTCTTTTATCCACCATCCCCGTCAACGCCATAATTTGACCACCAATCGTTGATTTTCCTGCATCTGTAACATTCGATTACGTTGTCATTTCTATATATCTGGTCATCTTTGACATCATATTTTCATAGATAAACAAAGTGACTATTACTCACCAACGTGTCCTATAAAAACAACATTAACATGCTCCTTTTTACTCTTAGTGTCTTCCGTTATTTTAACAGGCTTCTTTTTAGGTACTTTAACAACCATTTCCTCATCTTCATCATTGTCAACCTAAAGACAATTTAGATTTGCAAAGATAATGGCAAGTCAGCAGAGAAAATATTTAATTACCTATTCAGGCTACTAAATCTTTTTCAAGGGATAATTTGATACGAATAGTTTAATATTAAAAATTGAAAATTAAACAAACTCTGAAGGAGCTCCTCCTATGTATGTCAGGCTATTTATAAAAGCTTGAGCATACTTCTTCATTTTCAGGAGTTGACAGTGGATCTCCATCCACTGCTGCTTCTTCCCATGAATCGGCTGGTTGATGTTCATTTATTTGGTCAGTGACATTCGGAGGTGGAGCCCCTCCTCCGGCAGGTGGTTCCTCCACTCGGTTGCCAACTGGATCTGGTAGAACCACTGGACTGGTATCGCCTGCAATGAAAACATTCAATACGTTGAAACGGAAGAGTCATATTCTGTCCAGTGGACATAACTTATTCTACGTATTTTGCGCTCAAACAAGTGAACACAAGATGCACAAGTAAATAGGCAATTATATTTAATACTCCATATATTTGTGATCTGTTATACGCTTATGGAGATTTATAGTTTAATAATCTCTTATATAATCTACCATTATCTAATGAATTAAAAGGTAGTTATAGGATGCTTGTTTTACAAAAATAATAGAATTGTCTAACGTTTTCTTACATAATCAACTTTCTATTTCCATAGAAACTAAAGTGTATCTAACACAGCATTTAAACAGTGCTAATTTTATATTCATTAACTATAATAATTAAATTGTATCTAATCATATAAAAAATAAAAGTATTCAAAACAAAAAGTTTGTGTTACTCGGAACAATGATAGAAATCTGTTTAAAATCAAATTAATAAATAATCATTAACTCGATCATTTGATTATAGGAACAAATACTTCGTCTTTAATATTAGCACCAGCATTGCACAATATTGAGTTAATGTTAACCATATACGCGTTATGCAGATGCACTCATTCGAAATATATTCCTTGGGGAAACGATAACCAATGATACCCATTAGCGACAATACGTATAAATATTTGTTCAAATGTACAAAGTATTTTCACCATTTCATCCGATACTGCAACACTATTCGGCTACATAAGTCTCTGTGCGAACAAAGCAACAGGGGTTAGTCGGAGCAGTTACAACAAAGCATTTGCTGGACCGAGAGCTCCAAATCCATAACATTGTATAGTGGATAGATTGATAAACGTATTGACAAGTTTCTCACAGGATCAATTTCAATTCTGTGTTAAGACTAACCATGATGTATTTCTGGGGGCATAGAGGTGGTTACACTATTCGTCATGACAGCGACATTGCAGGAACTGTCGGCCGCGTTACTGTCCTGCGGTGATTGAATGCAGAATGAAGGCACGAATTCCGCAGCGTTCACGTTCAGGGTCGAGAATTTGCTTTCGATGGACTGATCTTGCGGCGGACCGATGTCTCCGTTGTCCGCCTGCTGTTCCCACGAATCTGGTGCTACACTGTTCGCCATATTTAACAGAGTTCGGTAGTCAAGTTGGCCTCGTGGATAAATCGTACACGAAATTCACGCTATGCTACGTGCAGGATCTCGATTGTAACCGCGATTACGATTGGGACGGGGTTTAAAAAAATAATTATTTACGATATCCGCGCACACCGTAACACGCGTATCGGTACCCCGCGTGCGACCCCCGTGGTCTGTTTCGTTGCTCCACTTCGCCGGAACTACAAACATCAAAACACCAACTTTCAACCCAAGAACATTCCTCTGACCAGGCCTTGGACGCCAACCAATGCTACAAAAATCGAACAGAAATTCGACGAAGCTATTTACCGCAGCACAACAAACGGCAATTCCAATTTGTTTTTTTCCTCCAGGCACGATTTTATCGAAAATATCTCTAGCTGTAACCGGTTATGTTGGCACCGCGAATTTCGTTCTTGGCGTAACATCAAAACCCATCGTGATAACGTGGAACTTTCCACAAAAAAGTATATGTAAAAGAGATATCTTGTTTTCACAATGTTATACCTTTCAGAACAGAGAATGATCTCACTAGAACCAATGTTTTATTGTTATTGGAAATTATACGGTTCTTACTGATTTTTATACAGCATGAACGTATATACGCATGCATGCGCATTATATATATATGTATATATATATAAATATATGTATATGTATATACATATACGCACCGTATATATAAAACATTCTTTATCAAATTTATGCTTAAAATGTATAAATGTATATATATTTATACGCGTTTAAATATTTGCGACTAATGTGCATTTCATACAAAATAATAATATGGTTTTTTAACTATTCTTAAAGAATTTGTTTACTTATGAGAATTAACTGACAATGCATAACCCCATCTTTTAAGTTTTTGTATAATCGGTTTATAACACATGTAAGAACTCTTTCATTCACGTCGAGATATCACTCAATTTTTTTCTTGTGTGCGAGTAAACATGATATATGTTTAAGAACAGGCTTTACGTATTTCTTTATTTTCACTCCCATGTTACCCCATGTGGCATTGCCGCCATGCCAATCGCAGTGCAGAAAAGCGAAGTAGTTATAGGTTATAAAATTATTTATTTTTTGTTGTGTATATTTAAAATATTTAATGTACAAAATGTTTCGGTTTCTTCTTCTTCTTTTTCTTCTTTTTGCTTTCTGCAGAATCTGTAATATCTTCCATAGGTGTATCTTCATCAAGCTTTCGCTTAGGTGTTTCTATTGTACTTTTTAATTGCACAATGTGTGCAACACCTTCACTTACTGAAGGTACACTAAAACCTGGGATCTATGACAACATAATTTTAATAAAATTCACAATTACATTTACCTTCGTTTTTATAACCTAAGTTATTGTGATATACTTACGTATGGCTTAACAAGTTTAAATATTAATTTCTCATGCTGTACATTAGTTCTATCTAAACGAATTTGCACCACAACAGGATCAAATGTACGAAACGTAATATTCCCATAAGTCTGCGAATGATCTTCACTGTTATATGTAAATGACACAGTTGACTCTTTCTTTTCATTCAAGTATAAAGTTCCTTCCAAACCATATTTTGGTATTAGCACTTGTAATGCATTCTTTCGTACAAAAAGTATATATCCTTCTTCATCTTGTACTTTCTCCCGGAAGAACAACTAAAGAATATATATCGTTAATGCAAAAACAATTAGATAATATAACTAAAAATTGTAACAAATACATACGTGTGTATTAAGTGCAACGGATGCACGAGCGGCATATTGAGCCATTCTGTTTCGGTAATTCAGATTTTGACAGAGTGCCTGATTCTTTTTCTTATCCAATAAATCAGGATAAGTGGCGTCAGCTCCTATGCATACCGCCAATAAACGATGAACCATTACATCTGCATATCTATATATTAAATGAAAGTATATTAATAACATTTTCTCAGCAATAAGAATCATTGTATACTTGATTTTTACCTTCGAATGGGTGAAGTGAAATGGGTATAAATAGGACATGCTAAACCATAATGAAAGTATTCACTTCGTTGATGCATTCCACTAATGAAGTACACAGCCTGCATCATACAACGAGTAGCTAATATTCTTAACATAGTGTTGAAGTACGGATTACCCTCTTTGTGACATTTATCTAGAGATTCGGCCAATTCCTTTCCGCTATTAGTGTTTATAGTGAAGCCCTGACGAAACATGATGTATTAATATCTTTGTCCATAAATTATATTTAATTAATCTATTAATTTCTTATACCTGATTTTTTCCAGCTTTTATTAAAGGTTCAAAATTAGCAGGTGGTGGTTCGGGATGCCTTCTTAACACAGCACACTCCGGGAATTCTTCCACTATTTTCTTAGCAACCGACGTATTTGCAAGCAACATAAACTCTTCAACCATAGAATTAGTTTCCTTCAATTTTTTTGCTTCCACATCAATCGGATCGTGAGTTTCGTCGTCAACATGAAAGCGAATTTCTGGAGAAGCTAGCACTAACGCACTAAAATAAAAAATTTCAGTCATTTGTTAGTAAAAACTTCGGTTATAAAATTATTCAAAATTTTTTATAGAGAGAATATATATACCCATTTTCTAAACGTTTCTTTTTTAACTTCTTCGCTAGATTATTAAGATTCCTCAACGACTGTGCAAGTACGTCTTGCTGAGTGATGTCATCTATTTTAAGTTGAGCTTCGTCATAAGTCATAGCTGCCCGTGAACAAATTACTGACTTACAGTATCTAGTAGTAATTACGTTCGCGTCTCTGTCCAATTCCCATATACAAGAGAATGCCAATCTTTCTTCATTCCCTCTTAAGGAACAAAGATTTGTACTAAGCAATTCTGTAATCATTAAACATATCATTAGTTATTTTAGTAGATATTACACTATTTGTAAATCCATCATTTTCACCTGGGATCATTTGAATTCTCGTGTCAACTAAGTATACGGTGGTAGCTCGCAAAGCCGCCTCTTTATCTAAAGCTGTACCAGGTCTGATGAAGTGTGTTACGTCTGCAATGTGTACACCCACTTCAAGATTACCATTTGGTAATTCTTTACAATGGAGTGCATCATCTATATCTGTACATCCTGGTGGGTCAACTGAACATATGTCCAAATGTCTAAGGTCTTCCCTGTGAGCTAAATCCTACGTGGGATTAAACCGTGTATTTAATTTGAGTATATTATTCTGACAAATAAATTTACTTTTAGTAATATAGGTACATACAGTTTCTGTGATGCACCAAGGCATTTTAGGAAGCGAGCTGAGAACCGCATCAGAAAATCGACTATGCGGAACATCATGTTCCAATAATATTACTTCATTTTCAGTTACTTTATCTCCTATCTCACCCAATGCACGAACGAAATGACCCAAAGGATACCTAGAGTTACGTGGCCATGAATCGATAGCAACTATAATTCTTTGTTTACTCAACAGATGATATTGTCTAGTCTCGATTCTAATTTTAGGTATCTTCCTTTCGGCCGGGACGAATAGATGTTTTACATTCTAATTAAATAGAAAAGAAGGTTATGAAGTATAACTATATCTATATGATGGTTCAGAATAATGATAAGAATTTATGATTTTTACCCCTTCAATGTTACTAGGTTGTAATATCCCACAATATTGTCTCCAATTTCTTCTAATTATACCAATAATCTTTGCACTGGGTGTTTTTTGCATTTTGTTGGAAGTAACAATTTGATCTAATACTTTTTCTGTTTCTAAAACATCATCCACATCCGCTTCTCCTTCATCTTGCAGAACAATGTCACTTGGTGAGGACCATTCATCCTCTGCTAAAAGCTCTATTGCAACTGTGTCACCATCAACAGCTCTATTAAGATTGCTTCGACCTTGAATAAGAATCTAAAAACAAAAATATATATAATTATACACATATTTAGGTATGACAAGTAATATAGAAAATAACCAATTACTCACAGGTTTTTCCATTCCTTCTGTATTTACATATCCCTCCAAAAAATTTTCTCTTGATATTGCAAATGTTCCTTGCAAGTATTTTCCACTTTTTATACCACTGTGTAACTGAACTGGCGTAAGATGACACGGAAAAAATTCTAACCCACTCTTTTCTCCTCCATAACTGCGTTTGCATAATTTATCTGCTAAAATGCTTGAATTTTCCAGCGAAGTCACATATTCCTCCACTAAAAGAAAACACATAAACAGAAATCAGATTAATACTTAAAATCTTTTATAATTACAAGAAGGATAGAGGCAAAAGTATTACTTGATAAAACTGGTATTCCTTCATTTTCTGCTTGCTCTTTATTTTTTGCATCATCTGTTAACAGCACAGTCTTAATATTACAACCATTAGAACTTAAGTGTTTGTTATACCACTTCGTTGCAAGTCGAATAGCTCTATCATTTCTATCGTTCATGCTTTCACCAGGATTACGTTCAATGTAAGTATCTCTGTATAAAAAAGAATATAAGTCATAAAGATTTGGTTTCTGTTTAAGACAGTTCCAGTTACATTATCAAATATATAATATCTCCTACATACTTGTGATGTTCATTTACAAATACATAAAACTTTCTATGTGTGTCACCAATGATATTTTTCAACTTTTTATATACTGTAGAACTTTTATGTTTCACTTCCTCTAATACCGTTTGCAGGATTATGACATTACAAATAACTTCTTCTTCCAAAATGTCAATCTATAATTACAAAATTTCAATGTTAATGTTCTCATCGCAAGTCAATTTAAAATGTAATTGACATTTCATATACATTATACTGACTTGGTCCAAAACAATATTGGTATCCAACAGAAGATAATAGGGTTGCATGAGTTTAATATTTTTTGCGCTGGAATCTTCATCATCCAAAATAATATTTTTATTTCTGTACAAGCATTTATCACAGGCTTTGGAACCACAGTGAATATCATCTCTGAGGTAATGTTCCCGGACAGTCTGAACAAACAGAAAAAAAAAACATTTCCCATATTGATATTTATTCGTACAGAAACTTACTCTTGGTAAATTATATTAACTAAAATTGAAAAAGTTATGAAACAACTTTGTTTACCTTAAAGACTTTACCACCCTTCGTTTTCCGAAAGAAAACCTTCGTCGTTAACATTTTTCTTTTTATTATTTTTATACAAATATATAAATAATTATAATAATAATAATAATATACGTGTCTTCTTGAAAAAAATAAGAAATAATATGTACTATCTTTTAAATTCGAACATGTCTATAGATAATCCGATCAACACTACACGTGTATCGAGCCTCCATGATGTAGATAAGTGATACTGTAACACCACTGGTGTTGAAACATGGAGACTGAACATGACAGAGAGGGAAATTTAAATTTTATTTTAACATCTATAAATGATTAATTTACTTTGATATCTCTTCTCAATTTTAAGACTCATTGTGTAATATCGCTCGCGTTTGTATACGACAGCCAAATGCAACAGAGAGAAATCTGAACTAATAGTAATATATTTTTTATTCACGGTACTATAAAAGGGATTATGAAAAATATATACTTATAATATAAATTTTTCATAAACGAAATTCAAATTTCTAAATAAACCTTTGAATTTGAATGACAATAAAATCGTTTTATAAATATACAGGCTGCGTTTGGCGTCACAGAATATTGCAATATAGATGCGAATGCTGTTTTCCACAATGTATTATGCTAAAAGCAATAAAGTGAACAACTGCTATGTTCAGTTAAATATAATTTAGACAAGTATATTTCAAATTACAGGTGAAAATAAACGAAACAGATGTAACAAGTATCTAACAAAGGAAATGCACAAAAATATCTGCACTGTTTCTAAAATAGAGGTATTCTGAAAGCATCCTGACTGTGATTATGATTGGTCCGTATGAAAGAGGTAAACGATTATGAGCTACAGCAATTTCTTGTTAATTTGAGAATACTTTATTAAAACGTTTCATTTTGTTGTTATTTTTTCTTAATCTTAGTGTTAATTAATTGATATTCCTTTGTAGAATAGATAAATGTAATTAAATATATACTGTCAAAACAAATAATGTGTATCATCGGGCAATAGTGATTAAATGAATGTAATATTTAAAAAAAAAATCTGTCCCTTTAATTTACAACATATTTCCTACATCGTAATACAAAATACGGTTTGTTTAGTGCACCAGCTGATCCACACAATATGAATCATAGATCACAACAAATTGTATAGGGACTCCGATCCCGCTAGTGACTTTTTGATGGTGGGAGTGGGGTGAACAACTGCATACTGCATACTTTATCGGTTCAAAACCTGTCGGTCTACATTCCAGTGTGCTGGTAGACGCCAAGCGTCGTGTTCTATAGGAAATTGAATCGATCGAACCCTGCGACGATCGTTGAAAAGAAAAATGAAGTGATTCACCGGTATAAAATCAAAAAGACTGCTCGTTTACTTCCGTGAGGGTCATCGGCAACGAGTTCACGGATAAACCACAGGATCTGGAACGGAAGGATCGTACACGGATCGAAGGCAAAAGGGTAAGTATACTTCTAAGAAAAATACATTTCTCTTCTTCTCCGTTATCGCTGATTTCTATCATTCTTCTCGTTACGGTCCTCGGGGAGCTGTAAATAAAAAATAACAACATACAACTAAAGCCGAAACCGTGTAACGAACAACAGCGTTGATTGTCGAGAAGATTCGCTTATGGTGTCGCAGCGTAAGATCACCTGCCGGAAGGGGTGAGCCACTAGTATTTTCGATGGAATTTGAACGGCCGGTAGATCCCGTGGAGCATCGGGAAATCTGTGAGCCGCGGGAACCTGTACTCGATTGTTCGGATCTTAACGATCGAGAAAATCACCGTTCGGATAATACCGCGCTACTTAATGCGCCTGCGTTCCGATTTTTGATTAGAATACAACAAACGCGTTCGCGGTACGCGCGGGTAATATTAGTCGGACTGTCATCTACCCGGCTAAACCTAAACAAGCGGTACATGTATGCGCTATGCTAGCCGCGATAACGGTCGCGAGAAAAACAGGTTGCGACTAATAAATTGAAAACAAAAGCGACGACAGAGTTGCAGTTATGGTTTCGCTGAAAATGGATCGCTAATAGCAGGATTATAAGTCGCAGCTGTGGGGAAGCAGATTAAAATAGCGTATGACACATATACAGCTAAATATTCTTCCCTCGTTTTGCCTAAGCAGAATCGCCCTGTGCATACCGAGGAAGAGAATTAAGTTAGTCGCAGTTTGGCCTGTATCGAGCGCGGAACGCGACGATACGAAACGAATGAAAGCCGTTCACGTGATTAATCGGTGATCGCGGAGAGGAAGGGTCCACTTCTCTTGGGCCTACATCGATCAATGGGAACCCGATCTTCCCGGTTCCTGTTTGTCACGTGTAACGGAACACTGTACTTTACTCCTGTAAAAAATTAACGTCAATTCCATTCCCCTCTTTCGGCCAAGGCAATATGCGTGTCTTCGGATAGGTTATACGGTCGATGGATCAATTGGAAACGGAAGATACGAAAAATCATTTGCTCCTAACTTGTTCGTTACAAATGCCAATGATGTACCGTTGAATTCTCTTAAAATAACTTGTCCTTAATAAAAGAATATTTCAGTTTCATTTCAATTGAATTATTCTCGTTTCAAATTGCATTGTTTATCACCCGTAAAATCACGATAGCGGAAATCGTTCGGTTCACCGTTAACTGTCCACTCGATTATCCAAATTTGTCTACATTTTGGTCGGCAACTACACGGTGTCGGGTTCGTGAAAGCGGAACTCCGGTTTCACGATCCCCGATCGATGAACGAGGATCAGCATGCGTAAAAAGGATTATTTAGGAATTCGAACACCGGTTAACACAGAACAGTCGTAGAAACAAGTCCAATTCTCTTTCGTTCAGCTGTTACGATTGAGATGTAGCATGTGTACGATCGTGCGTGCGTGCGCTAGCGACGTGTCTGTATGTGTGCGTAACCCGGGTGGCATTGGCTCGTCCTTAAGGTTAGGTGCGCCGTGGCATCGTTTGAGGGCACGGGGTGCGGTGGGGGGTTGACAACCACTGCTTTGGAATTCGAGTTCTTTATTTTTATGAGAGGCAACGTCGGAAACCAGCCTCTTTGGGGCCCTTCTCACCTGTTACATACCACCGGCATTTATGCTACCATTTAACCAGAAGTTAAGAGTCCTCCCGTACATAAAACACGTTAAACTGCCTCGCGAACGGGCCGAACGTGTGCTTTTTGTCCCCTTCCCCCTCTCGAATTCGGCTCCGATGAAAAATGCCCGTTCGCTTCACGACGACAATGACGAATCTTCTCGGACGTATTTCTTTCTTCGCCGTAACAGACTCTTTCCCCATCGGCGGAGCAATGGCGAAAAATTATTGGAAACGAATGTCTTACAGGGAGATCGGTCCGGATACGAAATGCATTTCTGTATTGTATTCTAATGGGAAATTACGATGTCCTTACGATTAAGGACATTGTATTTAGTAGTAGTCACGAAATTACGTTTCCTAGAGGAATGGATACGTGTGTGCGTTAATTTCATGTAGCAGTCTCGCGTGGGCGAGCAGCACGATGTATACCGTGAATGGATCTGCCTACGTATGGCTCGTTTGTTAGCCAACAAATAATTTCCATCGGTCTCGGACGTGTCGGTACGGTTTTCTGATCGTCACTTTCGACGGTCAGCCGTTCGCACGTGGGTGGAAAGCGGTGCGCGCAATGATCGACGATTTTCGTCGCCGTATATGGTCATTTTTAGTATTGTCATTATGGCACCTCTGCCCGTTCAGCTTTGTCACGGTACAAGGCAACGTCCTTCCTGTCCGTGTTCCTTTATGCAGCGTTGGATAAAATATCATTTTGTAACGTAAATGATCTATTAGAAGTTCACCTTTAAATCATGTTCATAACTTTGTAAATAAAGCACGTGCTTTATTTGTTGTCACTTTTAAATGGCATATCATCAATCCGAAATATTACTGTTCAGCTGTGCTGGACCGATACTGTGTTCATGAAAAAATACTCGAACCGAAGAAAATGTTGAGAGATCTATTTTGTTACGTACGAATAGTATTTAAATTACGAATAGATTTACTTCGCAGAACATTATGGTTCCTCGTGTTATAATACCATATTTTTCTTGATTTATATTTATTATCAAAAATATTTGTTGTATTGGAAATATTTGATAATATTTCGTTTTATGTGTTGACAAAAACTTCGGAATAAATTCTGGTTTGCTTCGTAGAAATATTCGGCTTTTGTAAAATGCCGTTGAAGTTCCAACCAATCAGATTACAGGTATTTCGTTCTGAGGCGTTAGCCTCCCTCTATCTTCTCGCGCGCTAGATACAAACGCAACTTGATGTTTCAAAGTTCTTGTACTACGTACGGTATATATGTTATATATGCATGTATTACTATGATATCGTGGATGTTTGTGTGTTCATACTGTAATTAGTAGTTTAAAAGATAAAATAAATACATTTCAATCGGTGGAGCTATTGGCGCGGGCGGGACTTTTGAAAACGGGAAGCTGGTTTACCGTAGATTATCCATTCCGCTACGGCTCAGTATGCCCGGTCTCATTAAGAGTGTTGACGTTTTCACGTCTCGAAGTTGCCAACCACGATATCTTGAAAACTAGAACGAGAATGCGTTCTATTTCCACATGAACTCTCCGCCGTTCTAAACTTAAACATGCTTGCCGGGCATTAATTTTAGTGGACTCTTGCCGGCGCCTCAAGTCTTCGCGAATTTTCGTCCCACCCCCGGGCAACGAGGTCGGAAGAGCAAAGAAAAGAAATACCTGGGGCACGCGTGACAAACTTATCTCTTCCTTCATTCCAGAATGTGTCAAGATGCAACCTGTGCCGTCCCTGTGTGGCGTCGTTGCCGTATGGCTTCATATTCTGGCCAGCTTCGCTCATGGTAAGTGTGTGTCTATATCGTCACCGATAGAAATCTATGGTGTTCTAAATCCTCTGAATTTACGCAGAGTTCGTTATATATAAATTTTTGTCCATTGGCAGGACAAAGACAAGATGGTATGTCTTTTACAAGGCACCCTCAACCGCTGGATGCACCATTAGGAGACGATGTAAACTTCGAGTGCAACCTCAATCTTCCCGCTGAACGATTCGCTTGGCGTCATAGGCGGTTAAATTCAGACAAATGGTTGGCAGTTCCTCATATACCCAGTAACGGTGGCAAAACGTCCAGACATGTTGTGAATTTCGATGACGAGTCGAAAGCCGGAGATTACCGGTGTATAGCTTTTTATGGTGGGCTTTGATTTTATTTTTCTAGACCGTACAATGTTTCCGCGAAACTGCGTGACAGTGGACCTATATTAATTGTTGTAGGTTCTAGTGGATTAGCTTCTGATCCAGCACGATTAACGCTTGCTACTCTTCAGAAGTTTACCGACAAGAGCGACGTTGTTATACGCGTTGCAGCCGGGAATACAGTACCTATTACCTGCCCTGTGCCTTACTCTGCACCAGAAGCTATAATTCAATTCTACAAAGACAATAATCCTATACAGAATGTTAATGGGAAAACCATGGTTATCGAAAACGTTAAAGTATCGGATAGCGGAAGTTACCATTGCTCTGCTAGTAATTATATAACTAGCCAATTGTTCAGCAGCAATCACAAAACTATTTTGAATGTGCACACGAATCCCACTTTTCAACAGCCGTACTTCATCAAACAGCCGCAAACGGAATATAAAGTTCTGCGGGGAAAGAATGTTACTCTAGAATGTTTCGGCGTTGGTTATCCAGTGCCTTCTGTTACGTGGAGCAGATTAGGTAGTCCGTTACCGGCTAACTCTATAAAGACATCGATGGGCTTGACGATAATGAACGTCCAGTCCGCAGACAGAGGAGAATACGATTGCACGTGGATCAGTAATAATAACGCTCATATCAAATCTGTGATTATATTAAAAGTAATGGAAGCGCCTAAGGTGATCAAATCGCCGAAGGAATCCACGTTTTCTGAGGGTGGGGAATTGGAGCTTTCTTGTTCAGTGACCGGCGAACCACACCCGAAAGTCGAGTGGCTAATCAACGGAGAATCATTGTTGCCCAACGACAATTTGGAAATTAAAGGCTCCACCCTTGTTATCTCCGAGGTTGAGAAGAAACACGCTGGCATAGTACAATGCGCCGCAAGCAATGAATACGGTTCAGATTCTGGCTATAATTTGTTATGGGTTAATCCGAAGCAACAGATTGGCACAACCGAATCGCGACCGGACTACGGAGTTCCCAATCCAAGGCACAAACACACAAGGGGAGGCGGAAGGAGAAGAATCAAAGACGGAAAGCGAAAAGGAACTGGTAATGTTTCCATTGTTTAATTTAGCGAGGTACAATGTTTCATTCCGTTTAAATGTATGTCTCGTCTTTTTAGTAGTTTTAGTACCGCCAAATCAGCCAAACGTCACGAGACTTTCAGACGCTTCCGTAATGGTGAGGTGGTCCGTACCTAATAATACGGGTTTGCCAATTCAGTTTTTCAAAGTTCAGTATCGCGAATTTGGACAAAAGGTGAATTTGGGTAAACAGGGAAAGTGGATGACTCCGAATTCTGAGATATCGCGTAATGTGACAACGTTCGAAGTGCCCGATTTACAGCCTGATCATACATATAGGTTTAGAATCGCCGCGGTTTACTTAAACAATGACAACAAGCTTAGCCGGAATTCAGACCGTTTTCATCTGAAAAAAATTGGCCGGCTTCAGAGGAACAAAATGCCTATACCGTTGCTAACAAACACAAAAGCTTTGAGTCCTCATGAAGTGTTACTTATTTGGCAAAATTCGGATCCATCGGCAGAAATAGATGGGTTCTACGTATATCATCGGGCCTCGACAACGGCTGAAGACTATGTGAAGACCACGGCTGAAGGAAAAAATTCCTACAACATAACGATATCTTATTTACAACCTGACACGACGTACGAGTTCAAGGTACAGAGTTTCTCCGTGGATGCCGCTTCGGAATTCTCGAAGATTCTTCGGCAAAAGACAAAAAAAGTCGTGATCGAGCATCATGAGAACGATAACCGTAACGATCACGGTGGCAATCTGACGTTGGACAGTCGGGTACGGCCCGCAGACGATAGAAACGCGAACATGTATGCGATAATAGGCGGAGTTCTCGGTGGATCGACTCTACTAGGTGGCTTAACAGCTGTAGCAGTAGTATATAAGAGAACTAAGCATAAACAGAGCCGAGAGTCTTCGCAAAGCGAAGGTGGCTATAGCTTCTAATAATAAGCGTATTGCAATAATAATATAAACTTCATAAAATGTTTCTCTTTGTGGCAGGAAAACCTATTACGAATGGAAGAGTAATGAACGGTGGAGTTACCGACTCGAAAATGAATATAACATCAAATCCGCTCGCTGGTCTCGACACATCTGAAGATATAATACAGCCTAAGGTCGGTATTTGTAAGTAGCAATATCAATCACTGTTGCTCTGTCTCGGAGGGAAAGAATGACTGAACGCTGTGCTAATTTCATAAAAAAAGAAAAAGAAATACTGCTCTGTTTTTATGTACAATACATAACAAAATTTCCAATTGTCTAAAGTCATTCGACTTTCCCCTTACAGTCAGAAGTACACTAGGCGAACGTAAACACAATCTTATTCGCGTACGTGTCCACTTTGTGCGCCTACGATGTTTGTATTGCGAACATTCGTATAATTCTGTGTGTATGTGCGCGTGTTCTGTGGAGTTGGAATTATGGCCGGAGTTCGATCTTAGCCCAACGAAATGAATATAGCGAAATCGAACAAATTTCTTGTTTTCAGTGATTAGATTAAATAAATTCCGGTCGTGATGGCAAGCAGACTCTTGTTAAATATATTCTCTATCTAATTCGATCAAGCTTATACAATTTTAACGAATGGATGCATATTAGGTTGGACGTAATCGAGCTCCGTTATATTCCAATGGTACGCCATAAAGTTTGACACGTTCATCTTTGTGGTGCTTCGGCCCCCGTTCTATTTTAAAGCGACTTCCATTTTATTTTATTTTTTTTCTACGCACTATCCGCACGCGACTGCATCTATGTATTTACATTGGACTAACGTGTTTCTGCTTTCAGACTATTCGATATTAAGGAGACTAGTCTTTTCTAGCTTTAGCATTGGTCGCGTGTGCTGCTACTTTAATTCTGCTCGCTCTTTGCACTCTTCTCTGGAGCCGCTTTTCTTTTGTTTTTCTTCCGAACGCCACACATGTACGTTATCCCCTCAAAAAAAAAAATATCTCGCTCCCTTCGAGCTGATCTGTAAGAAGCGAACGAACACGCATGTTTCTAAACAGAGCGGACAACAATCGCCGATGGAAATGGCCTCGTTTCTAAACGGGCAAAACAACAACAGCAACAACCATAATACCAGTGACACAGTTGGAACTGACGTGAACACATCATATACTGAGCCCACTCTGCTCCAGGGATCACTGCCTATTGAACAACCTCTGTGAATAATGTTTCACAGCTACATCACATCCACATCATATCTAGATTTCCGATACCAGTTATCGTGCCAGGATTAATTTCAAATTTATGTAGATACATAATCGATGTTTCTTTTCGAATGTGTTGAAGTAGGCGATAACGATGCTTTTTTTAGTGAGACTTTAAACTTGTAGATTTTAGTTATCAACGAGTCGAACAAACAAACCGTTATAAGACATGTACAGGGTGCCGTAATAGGTATGCTCAAATACTTGAATTAATTACTGGACGTTCGTTCGTCCAGTAATTGCATTCTTATTCAAGACTATGTCTTTCCTTTACGCATAATACCTTCTCTTAAAGCTCAAGGTAGATAAGGGCGTAGAACGTACAAGGTAGATATGGTGTTCGACCATAAAGTGTGTATGTTAAAGTTATTAATGCATCTGTTCGACAAATCATTTTCTTGTTCAATATTGCTGACTATACGCACTTTATGGTCGACATAGTAATCAATGAATTTACGTGTAAGTCAGCTTACGCGCGCATAGATAGCCCGTAGGATCGCGCAGGCTCAGAACTGAACCAATTTTGGGGTGAGGGGGGGTCGGATTCGCGTAGATTTTATATTAATTTTACACCAGGCAGCTTTTAAAGTTATCTATGTTTCCTAATTTAAATTAACTAGTGTTCACGGTTTTGTAAATACGCGACTTATTATTAGTTAGGTCGAGTTCAGACATGAATGAAATTGTGTTTGATATGCACAAGAAAAAGATAGCTGTGCTATGTATTTTATATTGTGCGTTTTGAATGTTACTAATGATATCGAAACTTTTAGTTACTTTTGAATCGCCGACTTGACACCGCCGCTTGTATTCAATTTTCGTTACATTATCATAACCGACGCAAGAAACATTATTTAAAGAATTTTTTATTACGCTAGAAAAAAAATCTTACACGAATCCCTAGTACGTACGTTGCTAACAGTATTTGTTACATAATACTATGAAGTTAACTTATAATAGCAGTATTTTTCCTAGCTTTGAGTTAGATGCAATAATTGTTTAGTGATCGTTGTTGTATTCTTGACGGTAATCAAGCTTTATAATGACTCTCGCGATTAAAAACTCATGAAACGTATGAAGGCCCTACGATTTGTTAGTTGAAATTTCGATATTAGAAAACGAGGAAATGAACAAATTTGTAAATAAGTTTTTGTAAAATCTTACGACGCTATTTCTTTACATATACATATATACACATACTTTGAACGTAAAATTAGTTATTTAAATCTTCTATATTTTTTAAAATTAATTATGGCGATTTATATTGCCAAGGACTATTGTGAATGGGAGAAGGAAAAAAATGTTGTATATATTAGCATGGTTCAAATTTTATGCAGGAGCATACGTGCCTTACATCTTGCCTCTACAAAATAATATTAAGATTAATTATTTATACACACGTATGTATGTATATCTACATTTTATGTACTTAACATTTTTTAAATAAACATATCAGGAAAAATCTGTTAAGTAAGTTAGTAGTTCCTTTTGAATTTAAATTATAGTTGCCCACATTATTTCGAGACCTCTGAGAGTCATTAATAGAAATTAGAGTTCCCTCTTGACCGTGCGATATTGAATCACCGACAAGACATTATGTATAATTGAATAGAATAATTATTTTAACCAAAATAATTTAGAAAATTGAATTGTTCATTGTGATATATTTAATTTATATTTTACTTTTTTTATAGTCTATAATTAGTAACATTATTTTGTCTAAATCTATGGTTCGTATTAGAACTTCAACTTTTTACCGTAGATAGCGTCACGTGCCGTTTTGATCGTTACCACCATTCGTAAACAAATCAAACATCAATTAAAAATATCAGTATCGGTAATTGTTAATGTATAGTAAATACTTGTTTGAAGTTTACACAAAGTAAAATATATATATATATATATATATATATATTGTTTATATATTTATATCATCGTATATTTATACATCATTGACTGTTATGACTCAGGAGAGATCATATTTCGGTTAACTATTTGATCGTCCGGTACATCATCTATAGCATAATATTATGTAAATACCTCGTTATAAGTTAAGTAAACCTTTTAATTGTTTAATAAAGGTATTAAAAGATGGCTGCAACTGTTAAAAGTGATAAAATGTCCGTTAAGACAGCTATAAAGGCATTTACAGACATTATGCGTTCCTTGAATGAAACGGACCAGCAGATATTTTTGTCATTTATTGCTGATAGTTGGAGACCTGAAGAAGTAAAAGTTCGATCACTTTCACAAAGGTTTATAGGTACATAACATTTAAAATTTACATTTAAAATATTAATTTATAACATTTTATATCTATAAGGTAAAAAGCTAAATGAGCAAACAATGTTTTATAGATGGTTGCCCTAATGAGCATAACACACAAGAAGAACAATTAAGAAATATAAGACAAATTGTTATTGACATCAGGAACAGGGTACCCTTTGATGGTATACTGCCATCAGAAAACATTGTGCCACCAACAATTGGACAGGTTTGTTGTTCGATATTATACAGAGTTATAATTTTGTATTATACTTGTAACCTATTAACAGATACAGAATATGTTAATGGTTCGATAAATGTATAGAATTCGGATTGTGATGCTATGTCAACAAAGCATTTCGATGCATTTCTTTATGACAATAATGAAGTTGTTGAGTTAATTGAAGAAGGGAAATTAGATAGTCAGTATTGTGCCAAATGTGGATCTACAAATGTGAAACTATACAGTAAGAAAATACTTGTTGAGCTTCTTTTCTTAATTATGCGACAACTTTATTAAAGTAATGCAGCAACTTTGTTTTAGATATTATATCACATTCTATGTCAGTTTCTACTATGATCTATGTATTCTCTATTATTTTACCATCGTTAGAGGGAAAAACTGTACTCGATATAGGATCTAGATTGGGTGCTGTTTTGTACGGGGTAAATATTAAGATTTTAATATCATTAACATAAATGTATATAATTATTTTTAAATTAATTTTCAGGCACATATATTCTCATCAGCACAAAAAATTATTGGTGTTGAAATGAATAAAGATCTCTGCACATTACAGTCTAATATAATACATAAATACAAAATGAATGATCGTATAGAAATTATAAATAAGAGAATCGAGGAATGCCCAGACATTGTACAAAGAAGTAATATCATTATTATGAACAACCCATTCGAATTTTATGTTCCAGAATCTGTACATGTTGAAATCTGGAAATTTTTAAAAGCCAACATTCAAAAAGGAACAATTCTTATTACCAGACCAGCTGTTGAAACAACTTTTAAGACTCTAAACACAGGAATATTGGTAAAGAAGTGGTTAAAACCCTGTCAATTGGATAGGTTTATACAAGAGCCTCAAGTATTTGGATCTTTAGTGTTAGATCCCAATGAACATTGTGATATCAGTTTGTACGAAGTCCGATAGAAAAGATTATATAGAAGACTGATTTTTTTAAAATAAAAATATAAAAAAATAACTAAGAACATTTAATTCTGTTTATTGTTAGAACAACGTGTTGTGTATGATTTTATCAAAACAGTAGCGTGTACAACGAGATGCATAGTGTCTAACTAAATTTCCTTGATCACAAGGAGAAACTAAATAATGCGGTTATGGAATCATATGAAACCTAGCGGTTTAGGTGGTATCATAATTACAAGTTTTGCGTCAATCGTAGGTGTAAACCTTCCTTCTGGGAGAACTGATTTCAATGCAATCGATCCCCCCCTTTTAGACAGGAACTCGTGTATAGGTGGTCACCGCGGAGTGGTCAAGTTCAAATCTCGAGTTCAGTCAGCCATCAGCTACGATTGACGTACAATCATCGCACGCATTGCTCCTTTCAGTTACCATGATCGAAAATTAACACCCGTGGAGATTGCGAGCGATAATGAACGTCGAGGACGTCCGGTTGAATTCCTTAAATTCCAAATACAAGAATCTGGTAGTCGTATCCGTGTCGTCGACGTGTTACTTGTTAACATTGAATAATTTTCAAAACATTTCTTTATCGAAACTTCATTATTACTCTTGCACCCCAAATTTATTATCTATTTAAAATCGTTCTCATGTTATCGGTCCAGAATAAAATGCAGAATACAACATCGGAATGGACAGGTAAGAGATGCAACGTAAAATCGAAAACATCATTTCTTCATTTTTTTTTCCTGCACGTCGGCAACACTACGCATTTTTGACGATATTCAATGTACAGACGATATTCGTTTCGACGACATTCTTCACCGCGGTATCTAAAATTGCAATCGGCAACCATTAATCATTTTCGTTGGAAACTTAAATTGCTATTAAAATATCATTCGACCTTATGGACATTGATTAATAATTACCATCAATAAATACAAATTTTTTTCAAGTCATTTATGAAACGTCGGCCACCTGATATTTACTGTAATTGTACAATTTGTTATTGCTTATCTGGAACACGAACGAGTCATTAGCCTTGGGCTGACATTGACCCGATTTCGTCACAAATATGAGCCTGGCTATATAGCCTCGTCTAGCTTTCCTTCATGCAAATCATCTTTGAAGTCCCAAACCGAAGGGTCACGGAATCATTCTAAGTTTTTCGTTGAATGTCTCCCCTGTACTCATCTAACATCAAAAAACCTAAGAGACATCCGGTTCTATCGCGAACATATCCGCAATTATTTTCGAACATTCTTATCTCCCTTTGCGAAATCTAAGACGTAATCATAGAATATTTCAACACGGTTATTTCCAATTACGTCCTTGTTTCGTATCGAACTTCCCATCTCGACGTTCTCGCGTCTCTCGAACTCTTATAAATCTGAAATATAAATGGAAGCAAAATTCAAAGCAGTTTCAACAAACATATGCATTATTTATGAACAGGAAAACTTTTTTATCGATTCATCTTCGAACGAACCCCAAATAAATTTCTGAGCTGCCAAAGGGGGTCGCCACCAGTTGAATCGTGGGACCCCTGTCATAGATTTTTGTCGAATTCGCGTAGAGACAACGTTCTATTTACGCGTCACGACTCGTTTCCTCCTAGTCATGAAAAAAAAGGAAAAAAAAAAGAACCGACAACGAGCCTCCTGTTTCGCAATCTTATCTCGGCGTTGCCGTAATGCTAGGTCGAGTGCAATCAGGAATGGTTCCCTTGCCAATGGAAAGCGATGCGTGGGTGATATATAAAAAGAGGAGAGGACAGATGGAAAAAAATCTTCGTAATTCCGCTCGTTGCGCTACACGGCTATTTCGTACAATGAAACAGCCGAACGACCGAACGAACGTACGAACGAACGAACGGTCGCAGCACAGATAGGCTCAAGTGGCCAAGGGGCACTTGAACTGACGAGATAATGGACCGTTTGTCGAGAACGAGAAAGAAGCAACGATACACGGGAGCAGTGGTACGCGGTCGCCTGCAACCGCCGCGCGATCATTCAATCGCACTTTCTTGTTTCTTTGCCTCCGATGACGCACTTGTGACGTCAATTGCAGGAGCAAGGAGCAACCCTGGCATACCTCTTCCATACATCTTTCCCTTCCCATTTCTTCGACCCGGATACTCGGTCCTTGACTCTCGCTCGGACCGTAGATTTCGCGAAAAATAATTCTTTTAACTAAAAACGAACCGGCAACATAAGCTGGCTACCTAAAAAAACTGTGGATTTTCGAATCTGCTATTTGTAAGGAAGGTGGCTTTGGGCACTGTTTCCGACAGAAAGTACTCGACCAAAAAGTGGTCAATTATTTGTATATAAATGTTAAATACAAAAAATATTGAATAAATAATTTTATCATGCAATTTTTATGACGGATGCTTAGTTTCTGTGGTCGAATGCTTTTCTATGAATAGTATAACGAAGACGATCGAAAGTCCCCACGAATTGTACTATTGTTACGATTTAATATCGTTATTTTAGCTGTAATTTTAGATTATGACGTAGAGCAGATAAAAGACTAAAGAGAATATGTGATGACCGTTTCGTATGGGGAACGGTGAGGCGTGTAATAGTATTATTCCGAGATTAGATAAGAGCACGTAATGACTGCGGCGGTATTAGAAAAATTTATGTCGTCTGGTACATGCGTATTGCCATAAAGCCATTCAGCCGTTGAATAAGCGCTTTTTTGGAAGGGGGGACTTTGACGTACACGAAGAAATGAAACACATTAATCGACAAAACACTTTTTTATAGTCACGGTACTATTAATATACGAAGAGTTACGTACATACATTGTTTTGATTGTTTCTTATTCATCAGTCATTTTTGCGCCCGACAGCTAAATCGACACGCTCGAGGCAATGTACTTGCGGTACGAATTTCCCCCTGGAAACAGCTTGAACCGTCAAGTGATTAATTGAATTTCGAAGAAAAAACAAATGTATTTCAATGAATCCACTTCTATACCACTTAAAAATCCAAGTTTATATTCAGACAGCGGAACAACGGTCGCATTCAAGCGTTCCGTAAGGTCTACGGGTCTCTCTAAAGTGGGGCACGATAGTAAACACATAGGCATCATTATCATACATCAATCGAAATGTATTCGAATCGCGATTTCGAATCACATTTCGTCTCGTTCCAGCCGTGCGTCCCTGTCGAGCAACATTGTCATCGCGAATCAGGCGCGGGACGATCCCACCGGGAAGAAGGACCCGGTCGAAAAGAGGGTGAACTTCTCGAAGACCGTCAACGTAGCGGACGAGGACGAAAATTGCCCGACCGTGGCCAGATGCCTGTCAAACGAGAGGAAAGGCAAGAAAAGCGAAGATACCCCGGAGAATCGCGAGAAAAATCCTTCCAAGCCAGTTCGTAGCCGATCGTCGAAACCAGGTCAGATGATCGACGTACGTTTTCCGTCTAGCTCCCGCGTGGTTTACGGAATTCAATATGGCGACCCGTTTCACCAGCGTCGACGCCGCGGCCGTGATTGGTTCAGGCACAGTGCGCGATGCGTCTCCCGTATTTCAAATCGAACGTCTGGCGACCTAGTGCGGAGAGGACGATGGGAATCCTCACGGAAACGCGGCCGACGTGACGACGAGGGTTACACGGCGCTGAGACGGCGGCAACAGTCGAAACAGCTGTCACGGGAAGAGCACGGGCCCGAGCGGGAGCAGCCGATCGGCGCGGCGGAATCGTCGTGGAAACGGAACGACGTCTCGGCCGGTCAGATCTCCCGGAAACGGCGTGTCGGTATCGTGGAGAATCAGTACGTAGCCGGGAGCGAGGGTGGTTCGTCGGTATGCGAGCTGGTGCACAGCCTCGAACGGCTGTTCGGTGAGAGAGAAGCCGGCGACGAGGCCGGGCACGCGATGAGATCGAAGAAGCAACAGACCACTGCTGAAGAGACGACGGCGATCGACCCGATCGAGGCGAACGAAACATACGACGAGTTTGACACAGTCAGAATGCCGATAGTACGGTCCCTGAGCAAAAGCCCGCAGAGCGACGAGGGTATCGAGGCGGACCCTGAACGTAGGAGGGGCTCCGTCGCCCGCTGCTGGAGCCTCGACTCGGCGGCGGCCAGCGACGAGGACTTAGCCTCGCTAACTACCACGCACCAGCTGAAACGGCACAAATTGCAGGTCACTAGATGTTGTAGTTCCGACAGCGCGGTCTTG